TATTTTTATGTAAGCATGCACTTATACATATTTTGGTGAGAATTTATCATCTATATCCAATTGTTTTTAGATTTTAGTTTCAATTTTAAAGAAACTGTTCAAGATATTCTCATCAAACTTCATACACTCATACAAATTTTCATGTTGCATTAGTAATATACATTCGGCTGGGCATTCATGTCCTTTGGACATATTTCTAGTTTTCAAATCATGACCTCCAAGGGTAGGGTCAGGCCACAAGAAGTTTTATATAGGAATAAAAGGGGAAAAAATCTTCAAAATTCTTCTTTTCAGGAACAACAAGAGCATGATTAATATGGAAACATTCTCAAGAAGTGTAGATTCAAGTTTGTACACATCATGACCCTATGGGGTAGGGAGGGGCCATTTTTTTCCTGCCCCTATTTGCCATCCAAATGTAAATGCAATTTTTGAAACCATTTTACACATCCACATGACAAAACCAATCATCTTCCAAATGATCATGATTTAAGGCTAATGCATAATATATTTAAGGGGAAGTTCTGGGAACCAGGGTGTTTAAACATGTTAAATATTTAGAAGAAAAAAAAGTGAACCCCATTTGACCCCCAGGGTGAAAATAAAAATTCCGAAACCTTACTGCTCATCTACAGGACACCACTAAACATCTCCCAAAAGAATTAGGCTACTGTGTAAAATGTAAGAGGAGTTCAGGGAACCAAGGGGTTTTTGCATAAAAACGTCATTTTTCGACCCCCATTTGACCCCCAGGGTGAAAATGAAAATTCTGAAACCTAACTGCACATCTACATGACACCACCAACCATCTTCCAAAAGATTATTAGGCTACTGTGTAAAATGTAAGAGGAGTTCAGGGAACCAGGGGCTTTTTGCATAAAAAAACGTCATTTTTCTACCTCCATTTGACCCCCAGGGTAAAATGAAAATTCCGAAAAGTTACTGCACATCTACATGACACCATCAACCACCTCCCAAAAGATGATTAGGCTACTGTGTAAAATGTAAGAGGAGTTCAGGGAACCAGGGGCTTTTTGCATAAAAAACGTCATTTTTCGACCCCCATTTGACCCCCAGGGTGAAAATGAAAATTCCGAAACCTTACTGCACATCTACATGACACCACCAAACATCTCCCAAAAGATGATTAGGCTAGTGTGTAAAATGTAAGAGGAGTTTGAGAAAGAAGAGTGTGACAGACGGACGGACGGACGGACGGACAGACATGAGTAACAACAATATACCTGAACTTTCTTTAGAAAGTGCGGGTATAAAAAAAACCTTGACACTCGAACATATAAAGTCAATGAAATTAATTTCCTTTTTTCGGCATCATCGCTATAATCTTCAACATTAAAAAATGTAATGTACTTGTGAGATTTGCCGACGAAGGGTACGGAGCATGCAAAACAAGTACCGCTGTCTCTCTGAAGTTATCGCACCAGGAGGGAGACTGTATCTCGCATCACTGCCCCTGATTTCAGATCCTCCGGGCTACGAGTGGACTTCAAAAGCAGGATTTCCCTACCATGCCATCAGCATCAACATTTTACAAACAGTTTTACTGTATATAAAACTAATTCAAACAATCAAGTGGAAGAACATAAATGAATAGTAATGCACATGTAATACATTCATTTATAAAACTGTTTTTTAGTATCATAGAAAATATTTGCTATCAATTATTAAGATTTATAAAACAATCAATAAAACTATGATAGTTTATGAAGATATGCATATAGAGATCTAATGAAGAAAATCTAAAGTGTCGCATCTTCCTGATGCCTTTGACAGATGTGAAAAATGTGCTAGTGAAGGACTTCAGGTCATATCACTTCCAGTTATGTCCTCCAGCGTCGTTCATGTACGTCACGGGAGCGTTGGATTTGGCATTCTTTCTAACAACATCAACAAGACTGGAGAGACTGTCAACATCAATCCTGTGCTAAAGCCTCTTAATGTTAGCGAAACCAGCATCAACAAGTCATCGGCCATTGTATTGTACCTGGATGGAAAGCATTATTTCAATGTGCAAGCCTAGAATTGTTCGCCACATCAGATTTCCTAGCACGTAACTTTTCCTTTTCTCGTTTTCAAATTTTCAGCATTTTATGCATAAAAAGGATGATTTACCTCGATCATGCAGCATATTGAGAAAAAAACAACTCCTCACCTGCGCAGTTATCGTAGTGAATCACGCACGTCTTTTCTACTGAGCTGTAGTTTGTGAGGTAGTGGTGGAGCATTGAAATAACACCATTGGCACCTTAAATGTTTGTTCCGTTTTTCCCTATCCCTTGATCATTATCGATTAGGTAATTCATTTGCCGATACTTGCCTTCAGTGACAACACAAACATTTGAAATTTGCGGGGCGTAAGGAAGTATGATTGCCCTTCTTGTCTCCCAAGGTGGCGGATGGAGAGAGGCTGGGAGAAGTCGAAGGTGTAGTAGCCATGGATAATGTTGGTAGAACAAGGGCGTGAGTCCAGTAGGCCTCTCACGTGATTCCATTTTCTTCCTTTGCATTCGTAACAACATTATTATAGACCTGCAGTAGTCAATTTACATCAATCAACTTCGTTAAAGCATTAACTAATGAACAAAACAAAATTAGTTCATTTTCTTTCAAACTATTTCCAGTGCCATCATTGACAAATGTTTTGTAAAAGCTTGCAGATGATCCTGTTTCTCCTGTAATCCAGCTGCTGAAGAGATATTTGCTCTGACATTCTTCACATTTTGGACAAAGATCTGAACAAGGAGTCATGTACCTAATATGCAGACAGCAGTCCTTCCAAAGAAGTTTGAACGTGGTAAGACCAACACGCCCTTTGTTCGTTTCTGGACAAGTACATGATGTTTCGTACGAGTAATGCAGTAAAGACTTGTTGCCAGATAAAATTAAAAAAAATACATGTATTCCCTTGGTTCTTTATATAAGGTTGAAGAAGACCAAACACTTCTGTATACTTCTGGATATAATCAACTGCATTCTTGATTTCTTCAAAGCTGGACGCATTATTTGGTCGACTGTTTTTGTTCTTGTGAATTCATGGAATAAATCAATTTTGATTCAGTCGGAAAACAATGTTCTTCGTGTAGTCCTGACACCGTAAACGTGCAAAAAATAAATAAATAAATAAATAAATAAATAAATAAATAAATAAATAAATAAAAAAAAATTAAAAATTAAAATAGTAGTATGCATATTTTTTTTTTATTCTAACGCCGTGTATTATGACCATCCCCAACACACGAAAGATTTCCCGTTATAAACTTGTCCCTCTCCTTTCTTGAGAGTTCATTTGACATCAACATTGCATTGAGAACCTCCTCTAATGGGACATGTGTTTTCCATAGGAACAGGATGTAGAAACATTTTCTTTTAAAATCTGCATTGTTCCCGTTGCATAAAACGTTGTCTTACCCTGCACTATCATCTCTTCGTTGTTTTATTAGTGTAATATTTTTCATTCAACATGTATTTTTTTTCTTTGAGCTTCGTAACAGACATAGATACTAGAAATCAAATCCTCTGTTTCTAAATCGCTGTTTTAATTATCAGATGATACACTGGTTACAGCTGATCTATGGCGTGGAAGATCCGCAACTAATAGGTTTATTGAATTTAATTAAAGTGCTCATCAATTATATTAATTTAAAACGCACTGATCAAGCGACTTTCGCTTAAGAAAACATCAATATGTTTATATCAGGAACACAGTGTGACGGAACCTTGCATATGCGCAAACTTTACGTCTCTGCTTCGAATTACTCATGAAAACAACTTTTAATGTAATATTCCCTGATAGATATACATTATTTAGACATTTGAACAAGCTTTGATAACCCTCAATTATCTGGGTCTAAAAAAGCTTTGGTAAATTATATATTTTTGTTTGAAAGGGTATATTACATGAATATTGTACATTTTGCGTGTAGACCTACATAGGAACCGTCAATATTTAAAGGCGCGTATTTTACTTTTATACATTGTTTAAACTCAATAAAATAGATTACCTGTAAATCCATGTATATAAGATAATGCTCAAGTTTTCTTCAGACAGATATATTTAAGAAATGAATTTAATTTTTGGAGAATCCATGAGTACATGAACTACGACGCTTCACACCGGCGTATTTAACGAAGCGCTTCATGATAAATATGCAGGCGTGAAGCGTTGTAGTTCATGTACCTCATGAATTCTCATAACTTAAAATCAGATCTTATATTAACATTATTTTTCTGAAAATTTGCCACAATTTATGTCATCTAAAGATCAATGCCATTTTTAAAGCAAAAGAGTTTGAACATTAGTTTTGACGTCAAGTATGGTATTATGACGTCACAATTGAGATATAGTAGTTCATGAGGACATGAACTTTTTCTATATTTGCAAAGAATCTTAAGGAAAAAATAATTGGTAATGTAAATATTAACATATCAGCAAAATGTAACGTTATATGTTGCCCATGTTAATCTCATCATATGTTTTTTCCAGCAAACATGCAGACGAAACGTCATGTTTTTTGAGTGCTATAATGAACTTTTTGCATTCATGTCACTAAGGTCAATTTTCGTTTGACGCAACTCATATATATAGTATACGAGGACTAACCCTAGTATTTCTTGTGGGTGTGAGACTACTGTAAATGTAATCAGTAGAATAGTTGTGCGAGTCAGGTATGAGTTAAATGATGTAGATCAAACATCCTAATGCCAAAACTGCGCAGATATTGCAGATCTGGGCACGGAATATAAGTTAAACCCGAATAAGCATTTCCTGTTTACATACTACATGCACATGTATATCAAAGTATCAAAATAATAACTGTTATTATGAACTATATTTATAAGTGGGGTATTTTTTTGGTAAATAAACTGTAACTTTTGTTGTCATTAACCTAGTGCTTATATTTTTTTTAATAACTTTTATTCAATATTTATTTCTTCATTTAGCAGTGCACCTTAAAATATGTATTTTTTTTTCTTGAAAGGACTTGGTTCGTCTTCTCTCATTATTGCCTAAAACCTTCGGGGATTCTGCCCAAATGGAGCTTACCAAGGGAAATCCTCCCAGTGTATTTGTAAATGTCTTATAACTTGAGCTTGTTCAACATAATAAATGTTTTTTTTATTCAACGAGTTTTATGTTATACAAAATCAAAAAGAAATGTCAAAAAATGGCTACATTTATGTTGCATGTAATATACAGGAATCGAGAATTCGTAGATTAATGGTTTATATATACATACCGTCTACACGTATTTTCTCCCTCCGTAAACCCTAACTCACTGGTTACATTCATATCGCTAAAAATGCAGAGCCTTTTCCTATGATTTCGTTTTCCACACTCACACCGACCAAAGTGCTAAAAAAAATGGAAGATTGCTAAGAAGTATACATACAAAAGATTATGCAAAGTGAATAAATTGTAATTTTTTATGAAATCCTCCGAAAAAAAGAAAAGAAATTAGTTATGATAAGAATTACTGATCCAGGTGTATTTAAAGTTATTTTAAAAGAAATTTTCAACAATGTATTTCATTGTATACTAAAACTTTTCCCCCCAAATTAAGCAAAGCTTCTATATAATTGCAAATTAAAGAACAAAAATTATTCACGTCCGGATGTTTTAAGTTCAAAGTAAAAAATTCTGTTGCTATTTCAAGAAAAATTTTCGCTCTTTAGATGAATTTAAAAAACACACATACGAGGGGTGATCAAAAAGTTCGCCAACTATCTCTATATTTAAAAAAAAACACAATTCAGATCAGAATGAAATTTGGCACACATATAGTCATACACATGTTCTTTAAATAGCAGATGTTAAATAATGTTTTGCTCCGTGTTTGTGACGTCACAATGTGAAAATGACGTCAGTATGTAGGTCACTTGTGACAAAAAATGATTGACTCAGTCGTAGTCGAGCAACGAACGGCTGTAAAGTTTAACGTATATCTCAGAAATTCCTTTGCAGTAGAATATGATAATTTGTACATGGTTTATGAAGACAAAAGACTTACCAGTAGTTCAATCATTAGTTGGATTGAATGTTTTAGTGAAGGCAGGGAGATGGTTAAAAATGATGTTTGTTCTATTGCCCAGCGAAAGGAAACCGGTAAAAAGATGTGTCCTTAGTTGAGCAATTTGTTTTGAAAGATCGCCAAATTACAGTAAGAAAAATGGTTGATTATCTGAGCAATAATATAATAATTAAACCTCTGAAATATCGTTTACTTTAGAATTTAAACATATGGGATACGAAAAAATGAAGGCGCCCATACTTTTTCCACATTGGATAAACGACGCTCCCGAGACAGAGGACTCGGGTTATGATGGTCGCCATGCTAATTCTGGGGAGGAATATCCTTATCCACCCAACTTACAGCTGTATTGCCGAGATTTGGCCATTTCTGACAGATGATCTGTTCTTGTTATAAAAAAAAAATTACTTGCATGGTAAGAAATATAAGACTCGGAAAAATCTCTTACCTTCCGTGAACAGATCGCTACGAAGCATATCACGAATCATGTGATTCGCGCATGGGCAGAACAATGGCAGATGTGCATTTAAATCGGAGAGGACTACTTTAAAAGATAATGAACACTAAAACCTCATTTTATTTCTTTTAAGGAAGTAATTTAATTAGTTCGCGAACTTTCTGATCAACCGTCGTATATTAAAAGCAAGATAAAAGCATTCTCTTTTTTTCAAAATAACGTAAATTTCCTCACAGAGTTTCATTACTTTGAATGATGACGTCACAACTGCATTAGACAAAAAATTGCGAGAAAGATTTATAGCCAGATATAGGGGGTTAAGAAGCAAATATCATGTATATTGTATGTGCTTTATTTAAATTAAAGTGGATTAATCAAGTCTGATGATATGATTTAATGGTTATCATTTTTTTTCCACAAAGAAGACAATTGCAAGCAGCTGTGTACTTATCCAGTTCAGGATTTCCTCTGACATTCTGGACAACATAAAAAAATGCAAATATAAGTAATAAACAGCGATGTTTCAATAAACATGGTGTTATGAACAACTTAAGCCCTGTAAACATGTTTATCATGACATCCTAACTGTTGTCATGGAATGTTTCTGTAGCGCTAATGTTCATTACACCAATGTCTACTGAAAATGTCCAGTCAGAATGCTAACTATATCTAGACGGTCTTTACGAAAGTTATGCATATACAAAGGGAAATGTTTCATTACATTAAGATACCTTGTCCAGAATTATAATATTTAACTTAGCTATTTAAAGAGCTACGATCGCAAAGTACAGTCTCTGAAACGTTCTACTTTCCACCCTGAACGAACGATAGGTAAACGGTAAGTAAACAGTGTGTGAATACTGATCGCAACTTGGTGAAAGGTCAGTGATTGTTGAAAGGTGAGAATGCAAAGAAAGCGTAAAAGTGAGCGCAAAGTGAATGGTGAACGGAATATGAACGACTTGTTTGGAATCTTGCAATTTATACACTCTTTCGTATTTGATCGTTAGAAACAATGTATATATAACAATATATATTTTGTTCTGAACACTTTCAGAACAAATTAAAAGGAATATAAAAAAATAACATAGAGTCTATAAAGTACAAAGACTCTGAGAGTTGAAGATTATCTTTCGCTTTTATATTCTCTGCGATGACCTCAGGGTCCCTGCAGTGGGCTGTTCACTGAGCCTTGGGAAATACCTTCCGATCTATTTCCTGAATAAACTCTATGTAACTGTATAATCAACAACTTTAACCTGGAAAATTAATATAAAATGTAACTGAAACAAGCATTATGTATAACTGATATCATTTACTATATAAATCCTTATATAAGCGAAGTACATGTAAGATTAAAACAAAAGCGAAATACTAGTGTTATCTCAGAGATGTGCAAATATTGATACAAACACAGGTTTTTAGGATGTTATTTTGGCGTAAATTTGGCACGGCTGTAATTCCAGATCTAGAGACACACATAATTATCAATGATATTAAATGTTATGTCTCTGGGAAAGCAATGGATGGGCCACCAAACATAACGAGCAGGCCATGCAATACAATATGGACCGGGCTCCAAAACAACAGGTAGGCCCAGTAACACAATAAAGCAACATTCTCATAGTCATCATCAAATTAAGGTCCAAAGTTCTTATGTTATTTTCACTAAATAAGTCATTCAAGGTGATGTGATTACCCCAAATTAATAATGAGCAAGAGAATTTTATCAGATGATCAACAACTCCATAAAAATTATCATTCAAGAAAAAAAAGTTATTAACGACCCCATAGTTCAAATTACATATTCCTGAATGCCTCGAAACATTATTCTTTGCATAGAATTAACGATAAGTGACAATTATTATTAATAGTTTTTGTGAAAAGATTGATCGGTTTCATACTTTTCAAGTTATTCGTGATAGCAAAGAAAGATTGGTCCTAAAACATTAATACATGCAGTTTGAAAACCGGTGATCTAAGGCATCACACATAACTTTACAAAGTGTTCTGTCTGACAAGACCTCTAACTACAGAGCCATGTAACAGCTGGTTCGTACAGGTTATAGATATTTTTGAAACAAAAACAAATTCATTTTTAATTCACCAACCCGAAAAGAAATTCTACAGTGACTTACCTTTAAAAGGGGCCCTAATTGAGAATCTACTACGCATGCTCACTCAGCTAGATTCTAAGAATCCTCCTAACAGCTTATCAGATCTGTATTAAAACATATTTAAATTCAGGTAAATTATATTGGACATATTCACCAGTGAAAAAAAAAAGTTGAAGAAATCTGGAGTCTGCATCTCGTACCTGTATGAAACTTATGGCCAAGATCACATTTGTGAACAGGTACACCGACTGAGGCCACCGAATAAAAATTGCCACCTTGAAAAACAAAGCCCAGATGAAATTTATCAGTCATGATTTCTGATTTAAATACCATTTGAAAGTTCTAATTCATATTTTTATCATTTTCTTCCATATAAAGAAGAAAATCTAAAATACAATACATCATTGACCTAAAATGACAATTAAATTATTTTATGTATTAGGAAACTCTACAATTACTTGCAATTCTAAAAGTGGTGATTTAAAATGGATTTCAATACCTTGTTTTATACCGTGAATGCATCCGCTGGCAAGCAAGACGCTGGGGTTCTGTTTGAACGATAACTGAATGGTATTAAGATTAAAAGATACTCCAAAAAGAGATCACTTTTTATGGGGAAAATGCCTATTATTCCCTTATAAACCTGTCATGATCGAATGCCTTTTAGCTATCCATTTTTTTTTTTTTTTTTTTTTAATTTATTTTTTTACTTTTGAAATATGTTTCTTTTGAAAAATCTAAGTGTTAAAGCAATATTTTAATCAAAGTAATCAGGGTGATTATGTCATTAACCAATATAATGCTTAACTGAAATTATTTACCAATATGATTCTTTATCGGCAACAAATCCATGTTTACGTCTTTAACAGAGGGAAACTGAGAAGAAGGATTTGGAATATAATCTACAAAATTAATGCACAGTAAAATGCACTGCCTTGAAACTAATTTGTTTTATAAATCTACTTTGACAAATTAAAAAAGTGCGAGACAGATAAAAGATTATACAATAGTGCTTTATCATTATTAGCAAGCGAAAACTCAGAAGACTCTTTTTTTTTAAATAAGAAACTCTGAAACTACTAATTTTTTTTTTTACATGCACGACTAACTCTTGTGTTAAAGAGAACCTGACTATTTGATGAAAATCATAATACACTAAATTGAGTCTCATAATGACATACCCTAGTAAATAAATATCATTATTAAATATTGTAATTATATTCTTATTAACCCGTTCTATACAAACAAAAGTTGCTTGTGGAAGTACACGAATACTGATGATTTTAACAATGTTTAGCTCGTACATTAACGGTGACTATGAGGTTATCAATTGCTTCATGTGACATGTGTCCTGTCTCCCCTTAAATCGCCTCAGAAAATTTTAAGATCATGTCAGCAGTGTCCAAAAATCTACTTCCTGTAGAAAGTTCCTTGCACACCCCAGTCAACCTTAAAATGGCAACTTGGATGTATTAAGCAATTCGGATTGTTA